AACTGAAAAGATGTACGTACTCAAGTATCTGGCATTTCTCAAGTCAGTTTCAGGGGCATTTCAAATATTTACTGGAGGTTAGACAAAATAATACATGATAATTTCCTTTTATACAGAATTCATAAATTACCATACTTCTAATTACAAAGAGAAAACATCTGGTGTGTCAGCAATTTCTATCATGAGCACAAAATTTAATTCTTCCTTCTGATGAAGTATTTGTGGCATGTGGTGCTTCAGAGAGCAATATGAGGCACCTGGTTTTAAAAAACTTGGTTAGATATGTTTTCATTCATTTAAAAGCAAATTTTAATGCAAATTATATGTCAATTATAAAACAATATAACTGTGTTATTTACTACTAATAATTTTTTTACAAAATGTTTGGAGACTTTTGATTTCAAGTTGATATTCAGACAAAGTTTGTTATCACCTCTGAAATAGGTATAGGAAAATGCCAAAGACAAGTTGGCTGAATACTGCATCCATGCATGCTAAGTCACTTCAGTCATGTCAGACTCTTTGTGACCCCATGAACTGTAGCCCGCCAGCCTCCTCTGTCCGTGGGATCCTCCAGGCAAGAATACTGGGGTGAGTTGGCAAGGCTCCTCCAGGGGAATCTTCCCTCGCCGGGGATCAAACACATGCCTCCCGCATTGGCATGAGGGTTCTTTACCACTGGCCCCACCTTAGAAGCCCAGCTGAATGACACCTAACAATAATTATAAGGTCTTATTCACACAATTAGACTTTTATAATCATTATTAATTTTCAGTGAATCACCTGATAAAAGTATTCTAATTTTATATTTCCAACAAACATATGAAGTACTGCTTTACAATGGCAATTTTTTGCTTCTAGCAAGGTTTGGTAAAAAGTCCAACCAATTCTCTGCCCCCAAATTTTATTAAACACCAAGGAACTGTAGGGGTTTCCGAGGTGGTGCTAGTGGTAAAGAACCCGCCTGCCAATGCAGGAGACATAAGAGAGCAGGTTTGATCCTGGGTGGGAAGATCCCCTGGAAAAGGGCATGGCAGCCCACTCCAGTATTCTTGCCCGGAGAATCCCGTGGACAGAGGAGTCTGGTGGGCTACAGTCCGCGGGGTCACAAAGAGTTGGACAGGACTGAAGTGACTTAGTACAATACAAAGATAAGCACACTCATGATGAAACTTATGTGAATACCTAAATATATTAATAATCTAAATTCAATCATTGAATGTCCGTATGAATACCAATGAATTCACACTTCATTGTTTGGTTCTCTGGATTTTCTATGATAAACAAAAGCCACCTAGAAACTTTTAAAAACATTTTCACAAACTTTAATTGTTCATTGAAAAGAAAATATCTAGACTCTCCAACATGGTTATTCTTCATGTGAACAAAAAGTTGCAGAAGGCAGTCCTCAATCTTTGGGATTCAATCACAGAACATTCTAGTTATTATGGAAACAAAGTAAATAGTCCACTTCCTGAGACCAAAGGGTCTTCTGAAAATTGTACTCTTCCTGTTAAATGTTATAACGATCAGAAAGCCGTAAAAAAATTATTCTGACTGTAAACATAAAGATTTTAGATTGGCTCCATTTCTTTTAAATATTTACAGAAAGTTAGATGAAAAGCATATAATGTTTATGTGTCCAAATAAAATTGTTTTCTGACCAAGCATTATCCTCAGTATTCCTGAAGACTATTTTCCAGTTTTTTGAATTGACTGATTCTTAACATTTAGAAAATATGTTCTGGTAGGGTAGGATTAGCTTAGTATTCAAATCCATACAATTTTTTTTGTCCATCTCCCTGGTTTTTGGATTGCATCAGATGTCAACCGATCCTTTATGGAGTATTCACATTTATGTAATACCAGCTGATAGCAGATGATGACGAGAGAATGGAATGTTGCCGTGTTTTTTTATTTGAGTACAAGTTACAATTTTAGTTTATAAAACTATAGAAACAACTGTACTGTATAGGTCCATCACATGTCGGGCACTGTCCTGATAATTAGAACACAAGGGGCTCGATAGTGGTGATGGCTGGTGATGGACAGGCCAGCCTGGCGTCCTGCAGTCCATGGGGTTGCAGAGTTGGACGCAACTGAGCAACTGTCCGACTGGGGACTAGACAGATACAGCTCTACCCTCTTCAACATTTACAGGGCATGTTTTCTAAAAGTTTTTTTGCTTCATACTTTGAAGCTTCGTTTGTTTTTCATCTGTCTTAAAACTCTCAAATATCCATGTATTATGAAACTACTTACAGAACTAGCTTAAGAGGTTCAATCTTGGGTGATTAAATATCATTCTATCAATAAGAGTGAACAAAACTGAAAGAGAGAGAACAGGATGCAGAAAACTTCAATAAACAAACCTCCAAATTTTATGATCTCAAAAGCCTAATATTATCTCCAAAAATCCTCATTTTTTTCCTGCTGACAAAGATACAATAATCTTTTAACTGCATACAGTTTATATCACAGTGTATACAAATACATTGCTCAAATTCTTCCTTTACTTTTTACAAGGAATTTTATACAATGTACTTGAAGAATGCATTGGCTGTTATCAGATAACTGTTTTATCATCAGTCAAAGAATAAATTGATCAAAGGATGAATCACCTGTCATTTAAGGAAAGTTATTTGGTTTCTATGTTTTGGAGTATAATTATTTAAATCATTATGGAACTCAGGAACTGAAATTGATAAACTTAATCCTGTAACTAAATTTCACCTGTAGTTTCACCTTTGAGAATATGGAAAAACAAAACAGACAAAACAAAAAAATCTCATCTATAGCAAAACTAAACCTTGAAGAAAACAAATATACATTAATTTTCTTTCAACACACCATGTGGCTTATTTACCTGCTTAGTTTGAAATACCCACAGTTTTATGTTCCAAGTCACCTCTGTGGCTTAAGTGTTTCTTAAGGATTGGAAAAATACAAATCTTTAATAACATAGTTATTACAGTCATTACATGCTATTACCACTTTCACCAAAACACATGGTCATAATAAAGCATCACCTTCGGGGAATACCATTCCATTTTCTCAGAGCAACTTAAAATACTTTTAAGCTTCCCCATCTTTCATTGTTTCCTTCCACTTTTTCATAATTTTGCATAGAAAAGGTCATATTAAACTGTTCATATACTCACCTCCCAGTTGTATGGGTAGATGTTAAAGAGTCAATTTGAGGCAACAGAAGTAGTCATGGGAGGGAAACTCACAGGGGTGTACGAAGTTTTGCTGTACTGTTATTTGGCGTTCCAATGACAGAATTCTTGAATTATTTAAAACACACACACACACACACACAACTCTGACCTACAGGGGTGCTATTCAGAAAGATCACTATACCAAAAACATAACTTGTTTCATAATACCAGGAACTTTCCCAAAGTAATCTTTTATATATCTTTACAGCATTAAACAAGCACACTTCAGAAATAATGCTACTGAAATACCCTTCAAAAAGCAGTAAGGATTTTCTTTTGGCAAAAGGTAGCTGTTTGAAATAATTTTTAATGCATCAGCAGTACTAAAGTACAAGCCTATTTTTGAAACTATCACTATCATACTTTTAAAGACTACCCTGGTAGCTCAGATGGTAAAAAAAAATCCGCCTGCATGCTGTGAAGGAGACCTGGGTTTGATGCCTGGATTGGGAAAATCACCTGGAGGAGGGAATGGCAACTCACTGCAGTATTCTTGTCTGGAGAATTCCATGGACAGACCTGGCGGGCTACAGTCCATGGGATTACAAAGAGTTGGACACAACTGAGTGACTAATACTTTCACTTTTTTTTTTTCCAGATATATTTAACATACACATAGTCTCATTAACTATCAGAAATATTTGTGATATATATTCAAATTATTAGAAAATAAAACACATATTTAGAAAGTTTGATAGTATTGATGAGTGTTGCTTTCATTTTTTAGGTTAATTTAGTCAACTAAATCATAAAGACACTTGGAAAGAGATAATGACAGTGTTTTTCAAGTAGACATTCGGGCCCAAAATAAAGTCTAGAGATTGACTTTAAAGTTGTACCACTATAACGTCATGCAGACCCTCTAAAATAATTGTATCATTTCCTGCCATGTAATTATATGCTTTCAAATTTACACTAAGTAAATTATGACAAGTACAAACAAGCATGTTTCAGAGAAAAGTTGTGGAAAAGCCCTTGTGCCAAAATATATTAAAAAAGTAAAGCCCATCTCTACAGTTACCCTCACATTGTTTTAGGCATAAAAATGTGGTATTTGAGTTAATACAATATTTAATAGGACTGACCCACACATAAATACATATAAAGAAAAATTTGCATGTATGTGAAATACATTTACTTACACTATGGGCATTGCTGGCTTGAAAAACAGCAAATCAAATCAAATAGTAATAAAGATTAAGGAGGACAGCTGTTTGAATCATTTTTTAGTGCCTAAAATCACCTAACATTCTCAAAGATTTTCGAAAGAATGAGTTTACAAAAAGTTTCTCTACAGAGTATTTTCACTTTGGGAACTTTCCAGGTTTCAAGAATGCCCCACTCAAAGGGGAGCCAAAGCATTGTTTCCAGATTGTATCAGCAGTTCTGTTTTTTTCTAATTAGTAGCTAATAAATTCTAGTTCTATCTTCATCTAATACACTAAAATCCTCTCTGACACAAAAGAAAACTTGCCATTCCACTACTATCAAATAAGCAAGGCAACGAGCACAAAGAGGGGCATGTTAGTGGTGGAACCAGAAGTGCCCAAAGGAAGAAAAAAGGAGTTAAAAACATCATTCTTTATTTTCAGAGCTCCCTAACTGCGGTCACTGCAGTCACTGGGGCTGGAACAATATCCTTACCAGTGGGGTACAAATACAAAGACCTAACTCTCCAGGGCTTTATTCCCCCAAGAGCATTTTAAATCAGAATCTAACGACCACAGAACACATACTTTCACACAGAAGCTTCCGAACACACACACGCTGAACTTTTACCTGTTTTTATGCCGAGTCTTCAGCAAGTTTCTTCCAAAGGGAGCCATGGTCCGCCAGGCCAGCGAACAGCAAGGGTACCTTCAAGTTCTCGGGGTGAGTGGGGCGGGGGTGTGGGGGGTTTGGAGGTGAGGGGGGAGGTTTGGGTTTGCGGAGTGGAGGCAGGAGAACTGGGAGCTTCCTCTTCACCTCCTCAGATGCTCCTGGTTTCTTAGCTCATTAGTAGCCGCCTAAAGAGAGCGGCTGAAAGTTGTGCAACTGCTGTTTACCTTTGAACTGCGGGATTGTTGTGACTGCTGCACCTTTGGAGACCTGCCCAGCTTCAGCCTCCGAGAAGGCGTTTGGAGGCAGGAAAAGGAAAAAAAGAGAGAGAGCAAGAGAGAGGAAGGGAGGGGGACCGTATTGTGTTCTGTAGTTATTTGCAGACTTGCTAAACTTTTAAGAACTGCCAGCCCCACAGGCATGATAATACCCACGAATGGGGATTTCACTAGATTTGGAAACCCCCCTCCCCCGCTCCCCACTCCCAACCACACAAGGTGTAGTGAACACATACAAAAGGTTTCAAAGTAAGTACCCCCACCTCCCAGCCAGCTCCGGTCTGTGAAAAGGCATCTGACCGACGCCAGGAGGAGTGAGGGGCAAGAATTCTGTGCCTACCGATTCGCCACAAAACTTCCCTGCCTGGGGTTTCAGACTTGGAGGAGCGGAGCTGGAGGCTGGGTCCTGGGGGACGGGAAGACCACTCCGGATCTGAGCCCCCCGCGTTCAGCAGGTTAAGAGGCTCCCCCGGCTCCTCCACTCATCCAGTTCACCTTTCAGAAGTTGGAGGACCCGCAGGACCTCCAGCACTGGCTCAGGCCGCAGCCGGGGTTTGGGGTCCCGCCCCCGCCCCATCTCTGTCATTGACTAGCCCGTTTAGAGTTTGACGGAAGAGCCAGCGGCTTGCTCTCACCCCTGGGCGGGTAAATTGAGATAGGACGCGCCGGGCCGCTTTCTGGGAACGGAAGCGTGTGGTGCTGGTCGAGGGCCTGGGGCATCTCCTGGTCCCACGTAGGCTCGAACCCGGGACCCCGGCAACCCGCGGGTGCGGGGCGGGCGGAGCTCGCCTGCGTGGAGACGCCGTGAGAAACAAAGCGCTGTCCTGGGGCGAGGCCCTGCAGAATTTTCCCAAGACATGTTTTTCTCAGATTGCATTTCCACCCGTCTCTTCCGACTCCCCTCTCATCTACCACCTCCTCGAGCCACCTCCTGCCCGACCCCCGTCCCGCCGCTCTTCTGATCTTTGCTTAGAGGAAGGGAGGGGAAAAAAAAAAAAATCAAAGGACTGTGGCTTCAATCTGAGTAACTCTTCAGGCTAGTGGATCTCTAGCTCTCAGCAAAGGACATGAAAGGCTCATTCTTTCTTTGGGAGCACACTCCTGACCCTCAACAGAAGCACACCGAAAAAAGAGTGATCTCAAAGTTTTCTATAATTCTTACATGCACTGATTTATACAAAATTCTACAGAGCTCAAAAAACTCATTTTCCCAAAATTTACTATCGTAATTCTTACCTAGTCCTCTGTGCTGTATACACATATATGTATTTTATATAGCATTATTATTTAAAATTTATTATTTGTAATTGTACATAAATATTACAAGCCACATATATATCCCTAATTGTTATAAGTTAGCTCATTTATTACAATAACCAGTGCTTTAATTCCATTCAGTTCAGTTCAGTCATTCAATCGTGTCCAACTCTTTGTGACTCCATGGACTGAAGTACTGATAGGCTTCCCTTACCTTTTATCTACTCCTGGAAGATAGGATAATTTTTTTAAAATACAGTCATCTTTTAAATGTGTCTGTGGCAATGATGCCAGAGAAAATCTTTAAAATACTAAAAGTAGTAAATATTAATGACATATTTTGTCTTATATGTTTATATATATACATATTAATTTATATCTGTATGGGGCTTCCCAGGTGGCTCAGTGATAAAGAATCTGCCAGCCAAGCAGTCGACTCAGGTTTAATCCCTGGGAAATGGCAACTCACTCCAGTATTCATGCCTGGGAAATCCCAAGGACAGAGGAACTTGGCAGGCTACAGTCCATGGGATCACGAAGAGTCAGACACGACTTAGCAACTAATCCACCACCACCACGACCACCATACACATGTATGTGTGTATATATGTGTATACACACATACACACTTTACATGCAACATAAATAAAACAATCTTGCATATAATTCAGTTTCAGTCCTTGACTTTATTTTACAAGCACATCCCCCCAAAATGATACTGTCATGGAAACTTGCCCAGTTATTCTAAGTCATTCAAAATAGAATCCCCTAAAGCTATACTGTTCACTTATTAACATAATGACTGCAGCCAAGTTGGAAAGAATTTTGCATTTACAAATATCCCTGCGTTTCCTGTAGTTTCAGTCCTCGACCCTTTTAATATTATTTGTATATGTAGTTTTCATATAAAACAATTTTTAATAGAGCAGTTTAATGGAACAAGAGGAAACAACATGATATCTTTATTAGTAGAATCTTATGTTGAGTTTCAAGTTAGCACAAATGAACCTCATTTAGGATGTAATTATTCCTCACATAAAATATTCTATTAATACTATTTATGACAAGCTCTTTGATGTATGAGAATTAAATGCAAAGGATTAATATCCCTCAGATATAAAAAGCTGAAAGGAATAAAAAACATGGCCACTTTTATCTAAATAGAAATGCAAGCAAATAATAATTTGAAAGAAAATAACAAAACCATGTTTAAAAAAAACAGCTATTAATCAAATATTATGTAGATAAATTGAAATGAAATTTTATTTTTCATCTACCAAATTGCCTGATTTTTAAAATGATAATGCTCAACTCTGTCAGTATGATGGTCAGAGTATTATTCTACTCTACATGAATAGTACAGATTGTCATGTCCCTGATAGAAATGAATTTGGCTATGTACATCAATAACCTTTAAAATATTTGAACTCTTTTATCCAAATTTTTTCTCATAAGAATTTTTCTTAAGGAAATGAATATTTCCTAAAAGAAATATTTTTATGAATAGAAGAAATATTTTTATGACTATTTCATAAAAGGCTTATGCTTATTAATCCTCTGTTGAGACCTAAATAAAAAATTACACATGAAGTGTTGACACAGTATTAAACAAGGAATTAGGTGTTTTCTTTATAAGGTAGAAAGTAGTATAACAATTATCTCACATTGAAAATAAGGCAAACTAATGACTGCATGGCCTTTCAGTGATATAATGGAACTTTTTCTAACAGTTCATCTCAAAGACTATCCAATTTCCTGGAAGAATGAGATTTTTTGAACTTACTATTTACTACTGATTAGGCCCAAACTCTGTGAAATAAGGGCTTAAGTTATATAAGAAAAAAGAAACAGACGAAAAGAAAGATGCAAGTAGAAAGATAACTCAAAAGATTATCGTTTTATTGCCCTGTAAGATATCAACCAGTTTTACATCTAACTTAGTTTTATTTCAACCTTCTTTCTTTAATTCACTAACTATTAATATATATGGCAGTCTTTCCTATCCCTTTTGGACCAGCTTTACAATTCTGTTGAATTCCTCATTAATACATCAATCATTGACACTTGCACATTACATATTAATATTTGTATGAGATTCATACACTTCAGGTTTTTGAATAATACACTTTGGAAAAACTCTGAGCATGCATCTGTCCTTTTCTGAAGCAATGGGAAATCTTCATAGCAAAAATATGGTTAACTACCTATACAATCCCTATCTTTATTAAAAGATAAAATGTTTAAAATGTGTTTTGATGGTAGAAAATGGAATCTTCTTTCAATCATAGTTAAGTATGCAGTTCAGCCAAAATAAGTAGAAATAGTATACTTCCTTATATATTTAAATTAAGATGAAAATCAATAAGGAAGATGGTACATTATACTTGATAATAGAAGAATGAATGTTCTTCTGAATCATATGAATGCTATCGAATCTGTGGTTCAGGTGTTATCAGAAGCTAAACAGTGTTAAAACATGTATTCTGATAGAAAGGCCTGTTTTAGAAGGAGGTATAACAAAATATATGTATGAATTTTGGGTCCAGTTTATTCAGAGCCTCTCTTCATATTAAGAAGTTTTTTTTTTTTTTTTTTTTTGGCTGCACCATGCAGAATCTTAGTTCCCTAACCAGGCATCTAACCTGTATTCCCTGAAGTGGAAGCCTGCAGTCCTAACCATTGGACCACCAAGGAATTCTCTAGGGAGTCTTTTTTAAATTGAATTTTCCCAGTTTTATTGAGATACAATGGACACATATCACTGTGTAAGTTTAAGGGGAGCAGCGTAATTGATTGACTGACATGTATTGTGAAGTGATTACTACAATAGGTTTAGCCAGCATCCATTTCATAGATACAATAAAAAGAGAAAACAAAAAAAGAAAAAAAATTCTTGTGAGAACTCTCAAGATTTACTCTCTTCAAGTTAGTATACCTTTTGAGAATGAAAGTGTTAATCGCTCAGTCATGTCCAACTCTTTGGGACCCCATGGACTGTAGACCACTAGGCTCCTCTGTCCATGGAATTCTCCAGGCAAGCATACTGAAGTGGGTTGCCTTTGCCTTCTCCAGGGGATCTTCTCGATCCAGGGATCAAACCCTAGGACACCTGCATGCAGGCAGATTCTTTACCATCTGAGCCACCAGGAAAGCCCAATGTGCATTATACACCAGTGTTAGCTATAGTTGTGCTGTTCATTGTATCCCCAACACTGATTTATCTTGTAACTAGAAGTTTCTACCACCGACCTCCAATTCCCCCTCCCTCAACCCTGTCCCCACTTCTGCTGATCTTTTTATTGTATTAATTTGGCTGACTTTTAGTTTTAGCAGTGTTACTTCATTAAAAGGGTAGTAGATATGAGTACAGCCTTTCCAGGTGGCACTAGTGGTAAAGAAACTGCCTGCTAATGCAGGAGACCTAAGAGAGGGCTTCAGTCCCTGAAGATCCCCTCTAGGAGGGCATTGCAACGCAGTCCAATATTCTTGCCTGGAGAATCCCTTGAACAGAGGAGCCTGGTGGGCTACGGTCCATGTGGTCACATGAATGAGCGACTAATCACTCCACTCCATATGGTAATCTATGAAGAAATAGCATACTATATGTTATTACATTTTACTAAGTAGAACAGCTTGTTATAATCAATTAGTTTATCTGATTTACTGAAAACCCCACTTTCAATTAAGGGGAAAATAGTAAGACAGAGAGAGCTTCTCAGGTGGTGCTAGTGATAAAAAACACACTTGTCAATTCAGGAGAAGTAAGAGACTCAGGTTTGATCCCCGGGTTGGGAAGATCCCTTGGAGGAGGTCACAGAAACCCACTGTGGTAGTCTTGCCTAGAGAGTCCCACGGACAGAGGACACTGGGACTACAGTCCGTGGGGTCGCAAAGTTGGACACAACTGAAGTGACTTAGCACAGCCTAGCACAGCACAGTAAGACAGAGAACCTGTTTTATTTGGACAATGAAGAACTCAGAGATAATTAACTCTAGCCAGATAATTAACTAGCCAGAAGGGTGGAATCTGAACTTGAATGAGAATCTTTAGACAATCAAGATGTGGCAAAAGGGCACCATGTGGAACAGAGCTGTTTAAAGCAAAAGGTAGAAAATCTAAAAAAAGGTTAGTGGAAGATGTCGTTAAACTGAATTCCAGAACTATTATTACTGTTATTATTATTCCAATAAGTGTCTATCTTCTAAAGTTTTTTCCTCTCTTAACGGCGCTCATGGAAATAGAAAGCATGTCTAAAAAGTCCAATGGATGTACTTTTTCTCACAGAGAAAGTTATGAAATAACTTCTCTTAAAGTTTGAGCAAGGAAGAAATAACAATCTTGAATGGTTGAGGAAAAGCCCAGAAGCACAGGTTCATTTCGGTTCCAGGATTCTGCAGTGGCAATGTTTTTTTGATTCTCCAAAAGGAAAAATTTTAGAATGGCACTTGGAAGTTTTTGAAGGTTTTACATAAGCACATGTATTGTTAGTCATACAGCTTCAATAGTTGGCTTCAAGCTTTTAATTGATTAAACAGTATTTGAAAAGCCAGCTTGTTGGGTGTTGGCCAGATACCTGTGTCCTAAATAAAAGGCCAAATTTCTTCACTTAACAGCCATGG